AATAAATCCCACCAGGAGTTTTTCTAGAGGTAGAAGAGGATTATTGTGCATCTTTCATTGTTCTCCAGCACTAAAGATTTCATCTTTCATTTAAAATGAATGAAGCCATAGAAGATGTTTTCCTGACCCTGAATCTGACCTCTGTGCTGGTTTCCCATTTTTCCCAGACTCGCTCTTTGCTGCTTCCCATTGTTCTAAAGTTCAAGTCAAGTCACACTCATATTAAGTTATGCATCATGCTGCTGATGAATGAAGGCATGAAAACACCTCCGCTATCAACCAGGAAGAGGCAATATTATAAGTTTGACACGTACTTATTCTCAAAATGCAACATTTTCTGTCATATCACTCACTGCTAATCTCACCCCAGCACTGTCTGACAGGCCTGCATGGATTTTAACGAACATCGGCTCTGATTTGACATGACATGACAGCTTGCCTACTAAGCATTTATTTCTAGCCAGCCTCCACTGAGCTAACCTTCGATCATTCCCTCTGTACACACAGATTATGCAGACAGATGCACTATACACACACACGCTTACTCAGCTGGCACGATTTCCAGTCTAGTACACAAATATGAGATATGTACTGTATATACAAGGGAATATGCACACGGCAGAAACCAGACTGTGCATAATCACACTAGTAACTACAAAACACTTCTATTCTGTGATGTGTGTTAACTACAGGGACTAAGTTCGGCTCAATCATACATGAGGGACAAAAATCAAGAGACGCTAAGAGTAAAAGGAAGCTAGAGGAAGATAATAAAACTCTTCAAATTGAAGTGAAGGAGGAGGAAACTCATTGTATATGGTACAATACATCATCGCTTATCGTGTTCCCAATGTAAATAAAGAAGACTGGCAGAAGCAGAAAGGTGAAATCTGTGAGCAGTTCAGCAAAAGTCTGAGTCTGCACTTTCTTCTTTTTAAGGGCTTCAATGAATCAATTTTGCGTTTGTATCATGAATACCTGTGTTTTTAAAAGTAGCTGCAGGTGGATGGAAGCTGCTGCCAGGCTTTAGTTTGAGCTTGCACTGAATGAGTGTAACACACAGCAGTTATACATCAGGCTTTACATATACAGTATGCCTCCATTCAGCACTGCCTTGAGTTTGATTGTCACAATATTAAACCCATAAATGGCTCTTATCTGAGCTAGTTTAGGAAATAGTTTGGTTTGTGGCTGCCTGGTGTGAGTGTGACCTGACAGCTTGACCTCTTTCAAGCAGGAAAAAGCAACCAAACCTGTCTGATGGGCATACTGTATACTTTGGGGCTAACCCCCGATACATACGTGGGGCTGTTTCTGTGGCCACTGATGGGCTCACTCTTTTTTTGACCTGGGGTTTTGCTCTTTCAGCAGCATTTGGCTTCTTGCCGATGACTTTGGGTTTCTTCAGGACCGTTTTGGGCTTCTTTGCTACCTTAATGCCTCTGGTGGACCTCTTTGCTATAAAAAAAGCAAACCATTTGATACACAACAGGGCATGCATTCCTCATACCACATCAATATGCAATATTTTAGACAGGACACTTTACAATGGAACTTTGCTTTCAAGGAAAATAATAATGGATTGGATTTATATAGTGCTTTTCTAGGCACCCAAAGCGCTTTACAATGCCACTATTCATTCACTCACTGGTGGAGGCAGCTACAGTTGTAGCCACAGCTGCCCTGGGGCAGACTGACAGAAGCGAGGCTGCCATATCGCGCCATCTGGCCAACACCAGTAGGCAAGTAGGGTAAAGTGTCTTGCCCAAGGACACAACGACCAGGAACGAGAGCCCATCCGGTTACAGATGCGATTCCCAACCCCCTGAGCCACGGGGGGGCAACCATGGCTCAGGGGGTTGGAATAGCTATATTTCAATCTCTTGCAGAGAACTAGATGAGACTCTCATATATTTCTATTAATAATGAATTTGTCTGCTTATTTTAACACAGAAACGGGAAAAAGCCCTGCACAAACAATCAAATTTAAAAATTCAAAAATATTTAACTATGGAGACAACGCCAGCTGTTTCTTGGTGCTGTCCATCATTTTTTGATGCTATAATAATAATGTACGGTTTAATTTTTGAGGGTGAGATGACTCTTGCCAAGAAAGCAAACAAGATGTTACTCCCTGTGCCCCAAGTCTGTGAGACAGTTAACATGCACTGTCCTTCTTGAATTAAATAACGAGCTCAATAAACAAACTAACAACCCCTGCAGTAGATGCTCTGGATGTGCATCTGCTCGCTGTGCAGTGGAATATTCCTGCATTAGCAACATTACATGTGACTGGTTTTAAGAAGAGTTGCCTTCTGTTTTCTGCTCTCAGGCATTGCACAGCCCATCTGGTTTTCATCAGCGAAAACACACGGCTAAAATGTTTCACTGCACCCTCTGCAGAATGTGGAACATCCTCCCCCAGCCCTCGGACAATGACTCTCCGACCGCAGATATGAAAACACTAACACAGTCCTTTTACACTCCGAGTATCTACAAAACTGTGGCTTCAAGTTGTTGTTGAAAGTCTGTCGCTTCATCAGTGATTAATGCGACCATGATTAGAGCTGGTAGACAGTTTGTTGCATCTAACTTTCAAAGCAGAATTTACATTGAATTAAAGTTTTGGCTGCTTTGTTCTCTTTCAGTGTCACCATGATGCATTTACACTGAAACTGCTTTACCACATAGGCTTTTTGCTTAAGGGAAAAGTAATGACCAGTAAAACCAAAGGACAATCAGTGGAGTTCATTTGCTCTCATGTAAGCTTTTCCATGAAGGAGAACCCTTTGAATTTAACAATTTGTCATCAATTTGAGATTAAACAGCATTAAAGAAAATGAAAAACAGAAATAAATATCAGTTTGTGTCCACTCACCCAACTCTGGAGGACCTTCTTTTTCTCTTTCAGTTGTTTTACCAGCAGCTTCACTCAGACTTTCTGGAGCTGTGGTGGGTTTGCTTATTGACTTACGATACCTAGTTGTGAATCCTGCGGTGGGAACCTCAGTGGTATTGGGTTTCCCTGCAGAAAAAAGGCTCTCAGTTGAAGTTAGAGCTGTGTTTAAAGCCACAGTGGCTCTCCTTGAGGTTGTGCCATCTGCAGGTCTGCTTATAACAACAACAAATGAGCCACAGTTCAGATAAAAAAGCACAGTGATGAGCAGAAATCCTGCCATAGCAACTCTCCCCTGCAGAAAACCTAACACGAACTTCTCATTCAACCTCTGTGACCGGCTGCTCTGCAACATCAAGTTCACAGCAATGCAAACAACTTCCTGTTGTGTGTGTGTATATATATATATATATATATATATAAGTTTAAAAAATTAACTTTAGTATGATGTGTTTTTGGCTAAATTAAATAAGACTTCAAAAAGCTGAAAATAAATTGAGCCTTAGTCTGTGTGGAATTCTTTTTTGTTGAAAAAAGTAGGATACAAATAAGTAATTGTTCATTGGTGTAAGAAACCACCACATCCTTCTTACATGCTGCCATTACAGGAAATAATAAAAGGCTCCAGAATCTTTAGAATAAATGACACTTTAATAATTTTCTGAAATGCTCTTGACTTGGTAAAATAATCAAAACAATTCTGGTGACAACAATCAGAGTAGAGGTACGTTATACGTAGGTAGGTACGTTTTCACATTTGCGCTTTTATTTTGAAGGATTTACAAACCTTCCTTACCTCGCTGACTGACTGGATGCTCCTCTCCTCTGCAGAGCTGCTGTACCAACAGCCATGCACCAGTTTATTCAGGGATTAAACGCAGAGGAACAGAATTACCAAAACATCTTCCAGAACTCGGGGAGGCAGGAAATTAAATGTAGACCGAACTACCTTTAAAAACTTCAGATGTTTTGTGAAGTTTCTTTTTTTTTTCTCGCCTTTAAAATGTGGAAGATTTCTTGAATTACTGGTATGTCGCAATGATTCAAAAGCACTGGAAGGGATTATTTCTTTTGCACAGATGTCACATTTCACTGCTCTGGTTAAACAGTTTAATGGCACAGACAGACGGCGTTACACAGGACGTGTGCATCCAGACAGCAAATTCATATAAATGGGTATAAAACCCCCCCAAAAACAAACCAGAAGGAAAAAACAAAAAACACTTGACATATTACACCCCATTTCCAAATGATAACCAAATAGGTGGTATTTTATGGATCACTGAACAAAACTGTTTTCTGTCCAAGATCAGCAACGTTTGAGGAATTCAAAAATACTGGGTAACATTTTCTACATCTTATACTTTTTCTATTCTAAATGAGAGGAACCAACATGCAACCATGAACTATTTAACCAGATCTTACTGAAAAATGCAAACAAAAATATATTTACAAAAACAAACTTTTAAAATGAGTCGGCTCATGTATCTGCACTCTCACTGTGGACCTCTCTCCTCCTGCCGAAGCGCGCTTACATAAAAGTTGGAAATGCTCGCATGTTGAACAACAGAATCTTATTTATTGAACAGCCGGTGGAAAACGTGCAGAATTCTTTTCTTTAGGATTTCACTGAGTACAGTTCGAGAATTTGTGACAATCACGTTTCCTTCACATTTGTAATAATTTCTGTGGAAAACTGTTAATGAAAACAACAACAGCAGGTGGCCTACAAATTATTAAATACCATCGCTGTTCATCAAATTGCTTTCTAAGACACATGAAATGAAAACTTTATTTGTAAAAAATATGCAACAAACCTAAGAAGCTGAGTTAAATAAGACTCTGCTGTGCAAACACCCCAAACTGCCGTAGCTGTCAACATTCACATGTATATTTTTTTAATGATACAAAAACTTCTTAAAATCCTGCTCAGTCTTTGCATTTTAGTCACTACTGTGTTCCCATTAATTTAAACCTCTGAACCACCTGAATCTGAGAAGGATTTATTAGGGCTGCAGAAGGTTAAATAAATCAAAGTGGGCGGAGCCGTGTCCAGACTGAGGAGAGCATCAGTCTCTTCTCCTGAGGGTGTTTTTTCTTTTTCTTTTTAAGGTTTCCAGAGCTTCAGCAGGCCATCCTCACTGTAGGTGGAGATGAGGTTCTGGTGGGGGTGGTGAGCGATGCCGATAACATCCTTCTCGTGGACCTGGAGATGGGAGATGTAAGATGTGATCAAGATACACCAAAAACATCAAGAGTGAAACAGAGTAGAGCTTCTTCCAGTCTGAAGTGATGGATTCACACAAAAATTATCCATTATTTTGCAAAATAATTTCAGCTACTGTGTGTAAAATGGAAACACATCAGCAGTGACCAGTACAACACCTACATGCATATAGTTTTATATGGAAGACAAGGCAGTTACACATCCCCCCCTTCAACACTGACTTCAAAACTTCAGCGATAAGAACTTGGGGGAGGAACAGAGGACAGAACATGGTGTGGTATTTTTGGAAACTCTGATCCTGAGTGCCGTAACGTACCGTCAGTGTTCTCTCCAGCTTGCCGGTGACTGTGCTGAAGCAGTAGAGCACAAAGTCTTCACCCACGCAGTAGATCCACTCGCCGCGGGGCGACAGAGTGCAGCACACAAAGTCACCACCTTCCCTCTTACCGGAGCTGAAACTCCTCACGATCTGCACAAGAAAACAGCTTATTACCTAAAACTCCGGGTTTAGAAGAAAATCCCAAACAACTGTTAGTGATGTGGCGACATTAACTGACCTGTCCCTGCATGTTCATGATGACCACTGTGTTGGAGCGGTTGCACACGACAAAGTGCTCCGGGTTCTTGGGCAGCAGGATGACGTTATTGACTGTGATATCAGTGCCGGCTGACGTTCCCAGAGGCTTGAAGGTGCTGGTGCACTCAGTGGTCTTCACGTTCCAGACCTGAAGCACGTTGAAGATGAGTGGGAAAGCAAGAAGCATTATGAGAAAGAAGTGGATGAATGGGGTTATTTTTAAATCAGCCGCTTCTCTTACCTTTACTGTACCATCAGATGAAGCGCTGATGATGTGATGGCCGTCCGGAGTGAATGTGACCTCGTTGACAAACGAGGAGTGACCGCGGAACTCCTTTAGAGTTTTACCTGACTTAAGTCCATGGATTCTTATGAAAAACAACAACAACCAAATAGGGATGACGTCGACATAATAATTTAAGAAGGTTTACTGAAGAGCACAGTAGTTTTAATGAAGAATGAAAGAACAGTAGTCTATTCCGCCTTGTTAAATTCCTGTGATTCTGCTGACTTCGCACTATATTTACTCATGCTGATAAAATACAGACGCTAAGAGTGGATGCCACTGTTTGTGTGTTGCTGGTAAACATCTGGGACATTAATAGAAACAAAAGTACCTATGCTATTGTTTTAAATCAACACTACATTAATGTTACAGAGGACCAGAACTATTTCTTGCCCAGATCCAACATTAATGTTATCATTTATTAGTCATAGCCGGCAGTGCTACTACAATCATAATGTACGTAATTACATGGCTAATGTTAACGTGTGTGCCAGTCAGGTAAACATTCTAACTGTCTTGGAGCTAGAGCAGGGCGATATGACCAAAAATATTTATCACGATATACATTTGAAAATTTGCGATAACGATATACAGTAACTGACAATATAATTGACACTAGACAAAATACTTTACAACTCCACAACTTTATTAGTGCAAAAACCCCCATCAATGTATTTTCACTTAAACAAGCAGCTGTTTTTTTATGTGCATTAAAGTTATATAAAAATGTAACAGCGCAAATTCCTTGCTGACAGTTTGCCAAAAGGCATTTCCAGTGGGATTTTTACAAACCAATTCTGGTTCATCTGTTTCATTTAACGATCCACTTTCGCTCTTTTCATTCTGCGTCGCCGCCATGTGCGTATGTAAACATAGGCACTGCGCATGCGCGTTTTACCCATATTCTATCGCGATATGTCATTTTCCTATCGTTGCCCAAAATGACACCGGTATTACCGTGAATGGTATGATATAGCCCAGCCCTACTTGGAGCTTTATTGAGCTCTTGAAATTCCTTGTTATTACTGGTTGGTTGTTTGTTGCTACTGTTCATGTGTTCAGCTGCTAGTCGGGGGAGGGGCTTTAGTAAATCATGTTCAGAGGAGCCACCACTGCTGATTTACTGACACAAAAATGCAGCTGTTTTTGTTTTTTAATGTAAGTGTATTTAATACTTCAAGACACAATTAGTATGGTCTTTTGTTGCCAATGGTAACAGTATTGTTAGCATCTAGGCACCAGCTGTTGTTAGATAAGAGAACTTCAAACAGCAGCAGCCACTCGTACACTCACACAGAGTGTACAGCAAAGAGAGTGCCTGAGTGGAGCTAAAAACTACGGTTCTTCTTAAACAACCAAAATCATCACGATAAAAAGCCAACTGAACTTTGGGAAAAAGTGATCTTTTCACCTGCTCCCATCCACCTCCTACATGCTTGAACACAACCAGACCACACTCATGATCCCATAGCCTGCTTTGAAGTTTGGTCATCATGGACATCAGCACTAAGATCATTCACTTTGTGACAATTAAACAACCTTGCACGTCCTTAGTATGAGCTTTAGATTTTGAGAAATAATAGTGGCAGCCATAACCACTGTATTATCTTTATTTCACACCACAGTCGCAGTGAGAAACTAGAAGTGAGTGCATGATTGAGTTTGGTAAACACATTGTGCATATGGGGGAAAACACCACTAGAAAAACACCACCCTAATGGCTGCACAGCCTCCTCTGCTGCTGGTAAGGACAAACAGTCAGATAGTAGTTTACCTGATGGTCTGATCAAAGGAGGCACTGAGGAGCTGGCTGCTGTCCTTGCAGAAGCTGACACATGTTACTCCTTTGCTGTGGGCACGCTCGAACCTCCTCAAACACTGACCGCTCTGGATCTTCCAAACCTACACAGACACATACAGTTTGTTCTCGTGTTTTAGTAAAACAGAAAACACACGAGTGAAAGAAACTGAGGTTTTCAGTTTTCTGAGAGCTTTCATGTGTAATAATTAAAATGTCTTCTTGGTTTTTATAATTTTATACCAATAGATGTGGTTATATAGCTAGAAATGGGCTGCAAGTGCAGAATTGGTGAATGAAACACAGAAGGACAATGACAGAAACTGAAGTACAGCTGGTCCTCTATACCTTAACCTTCCCATCCTGGGCTCCAGTGGCCAACATCTCTGTGTCCCGACTGAAGCCCATACACAACACAGCGTCATCCATCATCATGAAGTTATCCTGAGCCTGGTATTTCAGATCCTGCAAACACAAAAGATATATAAAAATAACTGGCATAAACAGAGTGACATTTAAGCAGAAACTAAATCTGCCTTTCTTTTCCTTTCAACCCACCTTCCTGATTTTGCCAGTTGTGAAGTTCCAGACTTCGATGAAACCGTCCACAGAGCCAGTGACCAGATACTGACCATCAGGGGAGAATCGGGAACACTCCACGTGAGATTTCTGTCCAAACTGCACAGGGAGGAAAAACAAGTCACGTCAGAACAAGTTTAAGTCATGAACTTGAAGAAATGGCAGTAAGGCCTGGTCACAGTGAAGAAGCTGACTAATACAAATTGCCATTTTGGGATAGTGTGGGTACCTTGATGTGTCTGCTGAGCTGCGTGGGAAAGCGTTCCTCTTCTACATCTTTAACGGCAGCTTTACCTCTGAACAAGTCAATGGTCATACCAGGAGGCAGGAGACCCTGATGCTGCTGCCACTTCAGAGCCTACAGAAGGAAAAAGATGACGGGGGACGACATAAGCATTTGCATTTTATCTGAACTGAGGATTAAATTTTATTTATATAGCACCAAATCACAACAAGGTGCTTTATCCGGTTGTT